CTGGCGCCGGGGCCGCTGGCGCGCATGCACGAAATGCGTGCGTAGTACACAGGCTGCGCGCACGGGGGCGAGAGCGTAGCGCATCTGCGCCACTTAGTGCTTTCAGGTGCCAACCAGGTTGGGGGAGGTCCCCAGCACACACCATCCGCCCAGTCAGCAATGCTATTGGCTCCTGGTTAGGGAAGCTTCCTGGTCGTCTCGGCAACCAGGGTGTGGTCCTTGGGTTCCCTGTGTATTTAAACCAGACAGAGCCTTGGCTGATTGCTGAGTTATTCTACCTCTATAGTGTGATCGCCAGCTCCCTGTGTGTAAACCTGTTGCTTCCTGAACCCCCGTTATCGACACTTCGGCTTGCATCCTCGCTTCTGAACCTCGCTGCCTGCCTCGACCAGGACTTGGACCTGACTACACTTTTGGATTTTCCCTCTGTACCTCGTTTTTGGACTCTTTATCCCTGCAAAGGGGTTCCACTCACGGCCCAGCCGTACAACCCTGACAGTTTGACACAGTACCACATAACCGCTTAGTGCCTCTCTCTCCCTCTCCTCTTTTGAAACCCACTGTATTCGCCTCTTCTCTCCAATTTCTTTGAGGATTGCTATTATATACCGGCCACTCGGACCAGTATCTCGCTTTCTAGATGACTTCCGCTCATCCATTGACCTCCTGCTTTCTAGCTCCCTTGTCCATTCCTATCATACTCACCTCCAGGACTTCTCTAGAGTCTCTCCCATCCTCTGGAACTCTTTACCCCAACCTGTCAGTCTATCTCCCACCTTGACTGCCTTTAGGCGTTCCCTAAAGACTCATCTCTTCAGGGAAGCCTATCCCACCTCGACCTAACCACTGAACCTTCACATTCTCAAATAATTCATCCCCACAGCTCCCTCCTTATGTATCATTTCCCCCTCCTCTTTCAGATTGTAAGCCCTCAGGGGCAGGGCCCTCCTTACCATCTTGTATTGTATTGTAACTGTAATGTCTTCCTTATATTGTAAAGCGCTGCGCAAACTGTTAGCGCTATATGAATCCTGTATAATAATAATAGATGAAATGGTGTGTACATGGATAGAGAATTGGCTACAGGACCGCGTCCAGGGAGTATCAGTAAATGGATCCTTTTCAGATTGGTCTAGGGTCATGAGTGGCGTGCCCCAGGGTTCTGTGCTAGGCCCCATATTATTCAACCTGTTTATTAACGATACCGTGGAGGGCGTGAATAGCCATGTTTTCGTGTTTGCTGATGACACTAGAATCGGGAGGGTAATAGACACGGACTTAGACACTATAACAGTGATGGCGAACCTTTTTGAGCCCGGTTGCCCAAACTGGATCACTAAACCAACTTATGTATCTCAAAGTGCCAACCCTGCAATTAGACCTGCATACTCTCAGATGGGCTCTGCAGTTCTGTACGGGCTCTCAGGTGGGCTCTGCTGGGTCTCTGGTGGTCTGTACAGGCTCTCAGGTGGTCTATAATGGCTTTCGGATGGGCTCTGTGGGCTCTCAGGTGGTATGTATGGGCTCTCAGGGGGGCTGTGTGGCTCTTGGGTGGTCTATAAGGGCTTTCAGGTGGGCTCTCAGTGATATCCAACTTCAGTGATATTCGCTCCCCCACTCCCCCTCTAGCATCTGCTAGACTCCCTGATGTCGTAGTGACATCATATTCCCGCCATAGTACAAATTTTACAGTAATCACAGAGTCAGATGTTTGGTCATGCAGAGTGAAAATAACAGTGTATTACAAAACCTGCAGAGTAGGCACAATACCATGGATGTATGGGATAGCAGCCGAATAGAGAAATAAAAGAGCAACATCATTCTCCTGTGTATAACCGCTGCTCGTGGTGGAAAACCAATAGGCAGCGATGGGGGAGTGGTCTGCCTCTGTCCAGGGAGCTAAGCCAGCCCAAAGCCATGCCCTGATCGTTTGTCAGTATGTGGGGGAAGCCACACATGTCAGTGAGGAGGACTCGGCCCCGACCCCGCACCAGGCAATATTTGAGCCGCGTTGATAGGCCGCCCACACCCGTAGGTTGTAGGATTGGCCGCGTCACGGGTTGGCATGGCGATGGCGGGACGCTAGCTTGTGGGGGCTGGAAGCCGTGCACGTCAAATGACAACCCGGCCACGCCCCCAGGCAACAATAGAGCTATTGGATAGGCCGCACACACACTGTGGGTGTGGGATCGGCCGCGTCACTGGCTGTCATGACGACGGCGAGACGACAGTTGGCGGAGGTTGCTAGTAAGAGCAGAATCGTCTGGCAAGGCATGCATCAAAATAAAAAAGAAAATCAAAAACAGTACTTGAAAATATGGTAATGCGGACCTGGGCTCGCGTGCCAGCAGAGGGGGCCCCGCGTGCCCACTCTGGCACGCCTGCCATAGGTTCGCCACCGCTGCACTATAACATTACAGGAGGACCTGGATAAAATAGGGGGGTGGGCAACTATTTGGCAGATGAGACTTTATGTTGATAAATGTAAAGTAATGCACTTTGGGGTGAAAAATAGGCAAGAGGAATACACAATAATGGGAACTCCACTGGGGAAGTCAGAAATGGAAAAGGATCTGGGGGTCATTGTAGACCACAGATTGAATAATAGCTTGCAATGCCAGGCTGCTGCAAACAAAGCGAGCAGAGTACTGTCTTGTATTAAAGTGACATTAAACCCTCAGATTTTTTAACATAAACCAATACTGTAATGTGTGCCTTACTGTAATCCATGGTAGTTTCCCTTCTCTTTGCTGCTCTTCCTTTTAAATCCTCATGTCTTCTCATGCTTGGGGAGAACTTCCCTTTGCAGCTGAGTGCCTCTTCCTGTAGTGCTGGCTCAGGTTGCAAACCTACACGCAGACATCATGTATCCATTTCAGAGACAAGGCAGTCTGCTGCAAAACAGAAGTTCTGCCCAGCATGAGAACAGATACAGATTTAAAAGGAAGAGCAGCAAAGAGAAGGAAAACAACCATGGATTACAGTAAGGCACACATTACAGTATTGTTTTATGTTAAAAAAATCTGAGGGTTTAATGTCACTTTAAATTATTACATACAGGGCTTCTGTTCTATCAAAGATTGTGACTATGTTAGAATGTGTGACTGGTCGCGTGGTCATACATTTTAATTTTAGGTTACTAAATTTAAACATGTTCACGCTGGAAGTGAGGAGATTAAGGGGGGACATGATCTTGATGTACAAGATGTTCAATGGTGATAGCAACATCAGCAACAAACTTTTTATGGTAAATTCCATAAACAAAGACTAGAGGCCACCACCTAAAATTGGTGGAGAAAAGATTTAAGCACAAGGGGCGTAGGGCTTCTTCTCAGTTAGAGCGGTTAGGGTCTGGAACTCGCTGCCACAAGCAGTGGTATCAGCTAAGAGTGTGGAATCAATCAAAAAGTATTTGGACAATTTCCTCCGAGACCGTAACATACAGGGGTACAGGTACCCTAAAAAAAAATAAAAGAAGATGACACAGGGACTCATACACAAGCAGAATCACATATATACACGCAATAGGTTGAACTTGATGGACTGGTGTCATTATTCAACCTCAAATACTATGCAACTATGATCAAGGGATGCCAGGCAGAAGGGTGCCAACAGCAGGGACTGGCCACAATTTGAACCGTATGTACCCGACTTAAATAGGTCTTGATCTCACCAGAAATGCATTGTCCTTAAAACTTCCTGTGTACGGAACGAGAGCCTTATAGGCTGAATTCTGTAAACAACAAAGCATCACCCCTCTATGTAATGGAGATGAAGAGAAAGGGCGAGTCTTGAAGTCTCATCAAGCTACTTGTCTTAAGATAACAATGCTTCTTCTCCAAAGATACAGTACTGTGATGAGCATTGTCACCCAAGGACAGAAAGTGTGTTACTTGCAAGATAACCAGGTAGAAATAAAAACCTGAGAAAAGAAAGCAAAATGCAGCCACCAAATCTAAGGTCTGGTAATATATTACATCCCTTTGTGTACTATATACTGTATTAGAAGTCATGACTCACAGAACCTTAGACCGCTGGAGTGGAGGGGGAGCAAGGTTGCATTGACAAGTCTAGGAGCTAGCCAGGATCACAGTTTGAGTGTTAGCCCAGAGTTCTCTTTTAAGAACCTGACAAAATGTTTAACTCAATTCATCCCGGAAAATGGCTGGTTAGAATGAGCATCAGTGGTGAGCTTGGGATTGATGTAAACCTAACACATCTGAGTTCACCCAACCCTGCTCAAAAACTATGACCGCCACCCCCTCTTCCTGGCCCAATCAGCTGTGGCAGGGGCATTCCCCTACCCACAGATATACTTCACAAAAGGGCGGGGAATGCCCCTGCAGCAACTGCCACCACTGACTGGGTGGGTGTCACAGGTTGAGCAGGCTTGGCTGAACCCAGGCAAACTGGTTCAGCAACAAGCCCAGGCTCATCACTACTGGCCACACATTATTAGCATTTTGGATAAATCACAGGAATCAGGCAAACTTCTTACAGTGTGTGACCCTGCCGGTTCATCAAAAGTTGATTACTTGTTGTTGGCTAAACAGTGACTGCAGCCAACCAATGTCTATCACTGTTCCTGTATTCTGACAATGGCAGACTCTGGCTGTCAGCATACAATAGTCGCAGTGGGAGATGTGCCCATCCATACTGTTTATCATTAAAGAAGATCCGGCAGGCTGAATGAAAAAGAAATCTATAAATATAAGGTGAGCCTTAAATTTCTGGAACATTTGTCATATCGTATATACTATTTACATATAAGTGGTCTAACTAGGCATACATTAAAAGGTGTTAGCCGTGCAATGAGAAACATGGCTATATTTCACCTTCTGTCATGTATGGTCACCTTGTGTCATGTATTGTACCTGTCCTCTGCAATCATAAACTCCCCATTATACACACACAGCGCCCGCCCCTTCCCCCCACTGTGCAGACTCTGTGTACCACTCGTACCCACCAACGGCGGGGGGGGATCCCAGAACCTTACTTACTGCTAATCTGACGAGTGCTGCCATAGTTGATGCAGAGAGTTTACTTGCAGATGAAGCCCATACGGATCTTCATTCCATGCTGTGACTAAACACTTCCGATTCACACTCTCTCAGCATCCGCCATCCGCTCTGAGGCTGGCGGGCGCCATGTTTAGGTTGGCGCTTAGAGTTGTACAGGCTGAGGGGGAATACCTACGCTTTTAACGCGCCACTTATCAGTTATACTGTGGTGCAGGCTGTGTAGGACGAAAACTGGGTTTAGGTTTAGGGTTCATTGAGCCAGAGATTTGGGGGTTTTGCTTCTTAATGTATTTCTAGCCTTTTAGTTTGAAGTTATATGAGGTGTTTGTGAGAGGAAGAGAAATGTGGTGTTGTGAGGTGTACCAGTGGCGGACCTTAGGAACAAAGGGCCCCTGTGCAAGATTTATTTATCTGGCCCACCAACCCCCCCACACAGAAGGGGCATGGCAGTGTGTTGAAGTCAATGGCACAGCAGCCACGCCTCCCGTCTGCAGTGCGATCGCCCGCACCAGAATGTGTGGCACAACAGTGTCTGCATTCCGGTCCAGTGCACGCACTATTTTTTCAGATTGCACAGGACCGGAACACAGGCACTTATGTGCCACGTGTTCTGGTGCAGGTGATCACATTGCAAGGGGGGGGGGGAATGGTTGTGGTGCCATTGACTACATCGCACTGCCCTGCCCCTAAACGCAGGAAACTGGCTGGGATTTGCTCCAGTGCATTCCAGCGGCGAATTGTGCTAGAACGCACTTGAGCTGGTGTAAACCAGCCCTTAAAATGGACCCTCTCCCTGTGCTGGTGCATTAAGTTACCATGGCTAAAGCAGGCTCACCTTTCCACAGGCTCCAGGGAAGAGAATCGGGACCTTTCTGCTCATTCCACCATAGGCAGTGACAGAGGCTTGGCTGCAGAAGGCTGGACACAGAACTTCTAAAACTTCAGCAACATCCAGACCATAGCGACGACCAGCCTGTCACTGCAGGTATAGATCTGCACATGCGCACTGCCTGCCAGTCTCTCGTACCAAGCCGCCTGTTACCAGGGATGCAGTCGGGAGACGGAGCGAGAACTCACCTGACCGCGCCCCCCGTGCTGAGAAGCCTGTCTGTCAATGCAGATAAACATCTGCACCTGTGCACTACCAGCCCCTCTCTCCCTTCTCATCTCCTGCCACCTGCTACTAGGGACGCGGCCGGGAGTACGAGCGGGACCTACCTGATCCCACAGCTCTGCTCAGAAGCCCATCGGCACTGCTCTGTATTCAACCTAGGGTGGGGGGCCCAGGACGAGACCTCACTGGGCCCCCCCACAGCTTCAGGCCCCGGTGCAGCTGCACCGGCAGTAGTTCTGCCCCCGAGGTGTACAGAGATAGGGGCCCTGCCAGCAGACCAAAATAGAATACCTGATACAAAATGTTAGTTTTTGACCAACAAAGTCTTGTAATTAGAGGTGCGCCGAAATGGACATTTTGAAACCGAAATAGAAAAAATTGTCAGCCCGATACCGAAAATGTTTTCTATTTTTATGAGCTGTGTAGGGAGGAGAGCTCTGCCTCCTGTGACAGCACGGCCTGTCTCCGCCCCCCACACCACTCTGCCGATCTGTGATAGGAGGCTGAGCGGTGTGGGAGGAGAGACACCGGCCTTTCGCATCGCTCGCAGGCTGTCACACTTTCTCTCCTACCCGCTGGGACACAGAACAGCGCCCAGCGGGGACGAAAGAAAGCAGGGATGCGCCGATGTATCGGCAGGAAAATGGCACTTTCGGCATTATGCCAAAAGTGCAATTTTCGGCCGATATGTTTCGGCGGACGATATATCGGTGCATCCCTACTTGTAATAGATACATGTAAACACAGTCACTTAGGGCTCATTCAAACTGGTGTGCACGCCGATAAAAAGAACAGATCAAAGTGCTGCGTGTAATTGTCTTCAGCAGCCTATTTTTCCATATAGGAGAAGGACGTGCTGCACGCGACTACACATAGTCTTCCCTATGGATGGACCGCATGTAATCGCGCGCAGCCAGGTCCTCTAATGGGGAAGAACAGGCTGCTATGCGAAATTACATGCAGCACCTATCCCTTTCAGGATCAGGTCTGAACGATCTCCCGGATTTTCCAAAGTTAACCCTTGCAGTGGAGATAGCCTTGCAATGAACTGCTCGTTTTGGTCTAGGAATTAAATAAAAAAAGATACTTTCACCTGATCCTCGATCCTGCAGTGATCGCTCACCTCTCTCCCCCCTCCGCTCCGGCTGTGGGATGTCCCTCAACGTCTTCATGTCTATTGCAAGTGAATGGACCTTGCATAGACATGATGACGTCATGGGTCCTTAGACGGAGCCTGGGGGAGAAGAGGCTGCAGGGACCGGGCTAGCAGCCAGGCGGGACGAAGGATCGGATGAGTATATGTTTTTATTTTAGACCCTAGACAAAAAAGAGCACTTAACCCTTGCAGTGGGTGGTAGCTGTCTTATTTGATAACTGCTTGCGGTCTGCCCGTTGTAATAAAACAGCCGGACAACTTGCACTTGAGGGTGGGTGGACTTTTTTTTTACAGCTGGCGATGGCTGTTACAAGCATTCAGGTAACTATGGAAGTGCCCAATCGCTTGTACGGTGCTGGGGAAGTGTGCACCCTGCCGCCGCTACTGCTGGCTATCCTGGGCTCCACTGTCCCCCGTGCAGGCACAGGACAGGCATGGTGGGTCTGTGTACATTGAGCGGAGGGAGATCAGCACACTTCTAGCAGCTGTTCTCCCCTTCGATTACCGAAATCGGAAGTGATGTGTATTATTACATCACTTCCAGTTTCAGTGTGTTATTTCTCCGGCTGCTGTAGCTGGAGAAGAAGCTGATGAAGCAGATCTCTGCACACGGGTGGATGCTGCCAACAATCCAGTGATAGTCCCTGCAATTCATAAGGGCCCATTCACACCAATTGTGGCGCATTCCAGAGCGGTAGCTGTTGGAACGCACAGTAGTTGCTCACTAAACTTCCCCCTTCGTTCTGGGGTGGGAGGGGGAGTGGTGGTGCATTGAAGTCACGCACCCGCAGTGCGGGGCGTGACTGTGTGGATGGAGGAATCTCCCGCTGGGCCAAGCTTCAGTATCTTGCTAATTGGCCCGCTGGCTGTCAAAATACCTGAACAATCTGATTGGATGCAGGCATTGTTCTGGTGTTTTGAGAGCCAGCGGGGCTAACTTGCAAGATACTGAAGCTTGGCCCAGCGTGAGATTCCTCCATTCACACAGTTTAGCGTAGATGGAGGAATCTGTCGCACTTTTTCCATCTAACCATGGAAAATCTGAAGAAAATCCGTCCCGCCACATCGTCCACTGTAGGTGCCCCTCAAGTCGCTCTCCGGTCTTATGCCACGGAAGGATCCTCCCCCTGGCATGGAGAAGTACCTTGCCCGTGCTCTGACCGCGAAACGATCACTGGAAATACCGCTAGATAGCAGCCGCGGATCTTCCAATATGGTGGCCACTGAAGAAATGCAGCTCAGCCAACACGAGGAATCTGGGGGTGAGTCATCTTCTCCTGCTAACAAGGTGGATTACAAGCACTTAGCCTCTGCTGTAGCTTCCCATCTTAAAGCTGATCTGGCACACATTATTGCTGACTCCATCAAACAACATATGGGGGCAATTCACTGCAGCTCCGGAAGCTCAGGGGCATAGGATACGTACACTGGAATCGCGTGTATCTGATCTAGATGATTACATGTATACTAACCGTCAGAAACATGACCGTCTCTCTGACAATGTACACTATCTTGCTGACAAGGTGGATGATTTGGAAAACAGGGCGCGCAGGAACAACCTGCGGATCATTGGTGTCCCTGAATCCATTACACTTCTGAGCTGCATCACTATCGCTCCACCACCATACCTCAGGCTTTGGGCCTCTCCGCCATCTGCAAGGTGGAACGGGCTCATAGGATGGGACCACCCAAAGATTCCACGAAACCCAGAGCAGTGATCGTCTGATATCTGGACTACTCCGACAAACATCGCTTGTTCCAAGCCTATGGCTCCCAGCGCAACCTGGTTATTTGCTCCTGTTATTTGCGGACTACTCCGTAGAACTCACCAAACAGCGCATAGCCTTCCATGAGGTGTGCCAGGCACTAGTCAGTCAGCGGATCAAATTTGCACTTGCCTACCTGGCCATCTTACGTGTTACCACCCCTGAAGGCAAAGCACTCCAACTCACATCAGTTGATCGTGCCAAGGCTTATGTCCAGTCGCTCAAAGCAGCCTCATCTGACTCTCCTGTCAAGAGCCCCCCCCACAAAAGAAGAAACCTGACTCCTTCACTTGATGTGCTCATCTCTCAGTCCTCCACTTATGCCCAATGTCTTGTTACAGATCCAGTTTACAACCCACCACCTGAGAGTTGCTCCTAAGCGAGCCAGACACCATTGGAATCATTGTGGGATCAAGCACCTACTCCACTTCCATGAATGTGTCTTCACATTTCTACTGTTTTACACATGTTGTGTTGACCATGCCTGGCAGGACGGCGCGTCCATGTTGACGGTTTTGTTTTTCTTGATACTACTGTTTATTTTTATTTTTTTCTCCTCACTGTACCAGCTCCCACTGGTCTACGCTCTGGGGTTAAGTTTCCTGACCCTTTGCGTGACTGCAAAAAAGGAAGTCTACACATACCGATCATTTTTATTTTTATCTATACTATGTTCATCGTTTGTTTCCCCTGCCTGACCGTCATTTTTTACTCTGTTTTGTCCTGGGTGGGGACTGCACTTCATCTTCCCGGGAGGCCCCCCCCTTACGGTTCCTACCAAGCTTCCTTGCATTACCATGCGTGCGGTCTTTTCTGCGGAGATGATTCTACTTGGATGTTTCAGGAGCACTGGGACACCTGTATTCATCCACTGCCACACTAGATGTTTAGTTCATCCGTCATCTGTTCACCATGTCGTCTACATCTGGGATCCCCCCTGAATGTGCTCACCTGGACTGTTAGGGACTCAAATCTCCTAACAAGAGATGCCAGGTTATACGTCATCTCAAAAAACTCAAGGCGGATGTAGCCTTGCTCCAAGAGAGCCACCTCAAATC